AAGTATTTTTTTTTTTTTTTTTGAAAGTTTTTGTTGTGGGGGGGGGGGGAGGAGGCAGGAGAAAGGAAGAAGCCCTTTCAAAACATTAATTTACTGTTTCCCCCAATCAGTTATTACACAGACAGATAGCTGCATTCTACTTTTATCCTCCCCAGAACAGCCTCATCCGAAGGACAATACTTCAACATGTTAATCCTGCTACGGTACCATACCCAAAATACACGGAAGAGATTAGGCCTAGCCAATAATTTTCTGACTCAATTTTTTAAAAATAATCACAAAAACCCATTTGTCAAAAATTTCTCACAGAAAGGGTTAGAAAAAAAATGTCTATCTCTTAGAAAGTTTACTGAGGTTAAGACTGAAAATAAGAGATTCTCTGTCCAATACAACGAATTGCTTCATGACTAGGGTAAGATATGGAAAATCTAGGCTCAAATTTCTACTGTGCATGTGGGAGAGCATGAGCACTCTGGAAGGACTGTTCCAAGGAATCTGTTCCAATACCTCCACTAATTCCTGCCTGTTGAGGCAGCCCAGATAACTAAATATAAGGTTATTTTTCACTATAGCAAGCTGAAGAATATAAAGTATACATAATCTCTTATAATATTTGCCCGGAGGATCTCTCTGGTCAAATATTTCTTTATAGCTATTGTTTACAGTAAATAATATTATATCCATTTTATTTTTCCATCAGGAAGCATTTATCTACACCCCTGTTACTGAGTGTAGAGAAGACACACACAGCGTTATCTGGGCCTCTCCAACCTTTTAATAGTGAAATTAGCTGTTTTGATCCACTGAGATGAAAAATAAAACATTCCAAGTGTTCAGACAGAGGTGAGAACAAAAGGAAAAATACTTTCAGTGAAGCACTGGACAGACAGCACATCTCTATACACAGCCTCACAACATACACTGGAAAAGCATTTAGTTTTTACATTTTGTTTAATTAGCAGTCAAAGCAAATGCATAGCTTACAGGATCAGCATTCTCAGACACGTTTACTGACTTGAAATCCTTTTTAACGGGTACTGATTTTCTCCTTTTCCACTTCCTCCTCTATTTGCTAACTAGAGGCCAGTTGTTCTTCTCGTACGGAGTTTTCAATCACATTGAGCTCATCAAACGTTACAAATATCAGAAAGAAACAGAATTTCCCCTGCTCTCAGCACAACAGAAGCATAAGCTAATAGTTGGTAATTGTAGCTTTTACTTACATCACCCTACAGTATTCTTTAGTTAGAACTAAAAATGCTGAGATCTCACAAACACACACACATATATATGACATAAAAGTTTTATAACATTTATTGTCTGCTTGTTGTCTTTTTTTTTTTTTTTAAAACAATCCCAAAACTTTTATTGGAACAGAGGCCCTATGGTGTTAGGAGGTGGGTACTTGTTAGGAGTACCCTTAGGAGAAAGGTACTCACTGTTAAACAAGTACTGATTTTCTTTCATTCTTTTTTAAAGCACTTAAACGTTTTAAACTTCAATTTGAAATAGATAGGTATATATACACACACACACAACATATAAAACCAGAATGATATGTGAAACACCTTCCACAAAGACTAACCTGTGATGATAAGACATTCATTGTGATCCAAGACTTCAGTGATGAGCCTAGATACAATCAGTTCTGGGTTAATTAAAAAGCGAATTTCTTCTTGTACTAGTCCTGCCCCAGTGACACCACCTCCAACAAAACGGTTTGCAAAATCAACCTAACAAAAAATATATTCAGGAAGATTATAAGATAAGCAAACACTGTAACATCCTTTCATTTAATGAGGTAAATAGAGTCCCATACAAGTTTCAAGGCTGTTCTGCTATAGTTTTGCTTAGCTGCTATCACCTGAAAATAAAAGCAGCAGGACAGTGCTTGATTAACAGCATGCCTTTTTCATTCTTCCTTTTCTTCTTCTGAGACAACTTAAAATCAGAAAATAGAGATATAAAGCAAAACACAGTTCTGTATCTCAAATGCTCTGGATCCAAGTTTTTTGTTTGCTTGTTTGTTTTTAATGAACCACATATAGTTAAGATACATTTCAATAAAAATCAAAAATGAAATCAGCAAATTACAGTATTCTCTTCTTGTATTTTACAGACTCTGATCAATTATCCCTCAATAAGCATTCTGCCCCAGCTGTCCACCCTGAAGCATTTTTAGCTCAGCTTGTTCTCTACCTAGACGAGCTTCTTATGAATTCTCCTTGAAACACACTTTCACAAAGCAAGTTATTTTGATCATTAAAGCTTCTGCCCAAAAGAGAGAAGCTCTAGACTATAACTTTTGCAGCAGTAGTACGTATTTTGCAAATTACACTGTAATGTAGATAACCATTTTAAAAACAATTGGTTTATTCTGAAGTGATTGCTGCTTATGCAAATTCACTGCTCTACTGCTGCAGGTCACAAGCTGGTTTAGCAGTCAGGTTCAAGTTAAAGCACCCTGAGAGGCAGCCAGCCACTGATCAGCCAGAGTCCCTGAAGCCTGTCCTGGAAACACTGACAGACTTCAGCAGGTGGAAGATCTGCTGAATTTGATTATGATAAAAGAACAACAACAATAATAAAAAGCTACCCAATGCTTGGGGCCCCAAATGCACTGATAGGCCTTAATTACTCTTGGCAGCTGCATCTGGGGCCTGCCCCCCACACCTTCTGCCCCCGGGCGCAGGAGCTCCCCTACCAATGTCGAATGTACCCAGCTCTGCCCAGCCCTGTCCTCTGCCGATCCCAACCTGCTGACCAGACTCCCAGGCCTGAAACCGAGGAGCTGACATGTCACCTTGCACTTATCTGCAGACCACCTGGCTGCGGCAGACGCGGTACTGTCACCGAGCCTACCCGTTGGTCCTGCGCCACGGCCGGTGACCTGGCCCTGCCTCCGCTGCAGCCACCCTCGGCACCTGGCTCATCTCTCCTGGGGAGCAGCCCCGCTCGTCCTGCTCCCTGCTGCACAGAGAGTCCTTCACCGCACAGATACTTGTTTTGTTTGATAAGACTTGAAGAGTATCACTCCCCAGGGCAATATTTTTATTGAGTGCAACAGAAACGTAAACAGTACCTGAAAGGGCATAACATAAAAGTTCCCTTTCCTCTGAAGTTAAGAGTGGGTCGGATAAGGAGACAGTAGAAGAATGAACACTGCTGAGCAGTTGCTGAGTTTATAATAATTTCAATGTATGATTTGGCTGCTCAAGTTTCATAAGACCATGAGATATTTTAAGGTTTAGGGAAAAGACCAAACAGAACCCCAGTAACCTGCCTTTGTAATGGTCTCGCTTGCTAGATATACCACGCTGGATCAAACAACTGAGCGTTTCATGTTCGGCATTTCCTCCCTGTTCATGAGCAATTTCCACTCATATGCCACTTGGATATCAACCGTGATATTTAAGAAATTAATCATTCTATTATTTGTCCTGCAGCAACACCTACAAAGAGGTCCCCACTACCCCAGCTGCTCTACAAGCACAAAAGCACAACTGATGGTCCCCTCCCTGAAAAACGTAGCTGCATTATTTGTTTTGGCTGTTAATAATAGCAGAAAGAGGAAAGAAAAAGATTACAAGAACAAGTTCACTTTTTTTTTTTGTAACTTACGAAGAGGATGTCTTCGATTATTTACAGATTAACCGTTTTAGTAGCAAATTTTAACTTTCTACTATTCTTTAGCATCTGTTTTGTTTAGAAAAGGCTCTCTAATTTTCTCATCTCCTCTCACATTGCATCACTTGTTCCTGGTTAAAGAAATTTTAACTTTTTTTGTAATTTAACTCTAGAAGACAAACTTTTTGGCTTTTTTTAAACTAATTCCAAAATGCAGACATGTCCCTTGCTATAGATATGGACAGGACATCCTCCTTATCAATCTGTTTTATAGCTGACTGGCTCCCAGACTGAAACAGTGGTGCTAGCAGCAGCAAAAAAGTCTCTTGAACTACTGAACTGGTCACCAGCCGGGGCACAAGAATCATGTTTAAAAAAAATAAGCTGAAAACCTTGACAGCCCATCAAGATCATAGCCGGAAATTTTTGGCTTGCCAATCTTTGATCCTGGTTGAACCAGAAGACCTGAGGCTGTCTATGGCTTGTGCTTTTCTGTCAGCTAGTTCTGTTAACAGGTACACCTGCAAAACTAGATGAACTAGGGAACACTGATAGTACTAAGACTGCTGTTCTTTTACACTACATAACATCTTATCATTCAAATCAATTAAGGATAAACAAATAACTTTAAGCTGCCAAATCACACAAGTATGACAAAAGCATGGCATAAAGCCATATTGACTATTACACGCTTACCTGCAGCATACCATGTCCATTGCTTTCAATAGTGCCTTCATAGGTGACGTGCAATCTAGACAGTTTTTTCTGAGATCTTATCATTGGAGAAAAGATATTGTACAGAAAAGATGATTACAGAATCTACGTACACAGATATCAATTTTAAAAGAAGAATCCATTCAAAAACATTAGCTGCTTATACACCCTAGCATGAGGTGGTTAAAAGCTGGTTAAAAGCTGATTAATCTGATTAAAGAAATGTATTTGCCTTTCATAAAGGATTTAAGGTTTCATATAGTCAATTCCTCAGTTTCTCCACCCTCTTTCACCATGAAAACCCAAATCTGAAATTGAATTTCCACATTTTTCACACAAATTCGTACCACCTTAACTTGCTAACGAGTAGGAAAGCTGTAAACAATCTTTTTGTGGTGGCTGTCACCCACACTTCATTGTATTTCCAGTCATTTCTGAAATCAAGTGACCGTTAGACCCAACTCTTTTTCCCCACTCAAGCAACAGCACCAAAGATGCGTTACTGATTTAATAATTCTCATGAGACCTGCTGACTTCATGAGGAAAAAAAAAAAAAAAAAAAAAAAAAACCCCAAAAATACAAACACCCCAA